GAGAACTCTAGAATCCCTAGATATTTCAAGAAGGTTATAGAATCCTCTAGATATTTCAAGAAGATTATAGAATTTCCTAGAAAGTGTAGAGAATTCTAAAATATGGACCAAAATGTAAATACTTTAGGGACTTGTAAAGTAATTTTTATTTACATTTTAGCCCCTAGGTTGTAATATAAATAGATGGGGAATTCATTTGCAAGGCATCAACCAAGTTGTAAGCAATCTTCCTCAAGTAATACAAAAGTCTTCTTCCAAAGTTCTCTCTCTAAATCTTTCTAAGTCTTTATTTGCATTCTCTTAGCGATCTAGCTTCAAAGGGCTTACTTTAGCTTACAAGACCGTGAAAGAATCATGAGTAAGTTGTTGGTGCCGCACGGAACATTGGTGAGACTCTAAGTTTGTGGCATTTATTTCTTCATCCTTCCAAGATTCTGACTCAACGGAATAAACCTCTGTTATAGTCACTCGAACTCGCATAGAATTCAAATAGCTAAGAATTCTGATTACTTTGTAAGACTTAGAAGTCTAATCATATCTGAAACCCATTCCAATGTTCACATAAGATTTCGTCTTTTCATAGTTCACATTATGCGTAGGGAGAAACATGTATTCATCTAATGATGGATTCCATATACAGTTCAATTTATGGGAACATGTAATAGCGAGGATGACCAACCCATGTATTGAACCTACCATCCTAAAATTCGACGAGTCAAGAACATTGTTTAGCGGTTCTGTGAACTTCATCAAGAAGCTACAACTTCTTTCACTGATGTGAGGGTTCGAACTGAACGTGTTGAGATGAAGATAATATGGGGTTGAAAACTCAGTATGCCAACGTTTATTCAATAGTTTCAGTCGAAGCAAATCTTTCACCGGCAATTTCGAAAATATGAGTAGAAGAACGTCGTGGGGAACACAAGTATCGGTTGCATTATTCATGTTCCGAAAAAATGAATGTTGAAGAAATTTCCCCAAATAATCAGAAATGGCTATTTGAAGAAGAAACACTCAAATTGTTACTCTCGCTCCTGTGAGAATTCGTTTTGATTCTTCTTGAAACTGAATCTTTTTATTACATTTTTCTCTGTTTTATGATCTCATATTTTGTTACGAGAATATAAAGATAAAAATAAGTTTGTAAAAGTTCAGGGAATGAATTTATTTTTATATATGGTTATATACAGATAATTGAAGAAAAATTCAGGATAGATTGGACGAAGCCCTAGCTTAAAATAGAGAGTGAGAAGTTTCTTATTGGATGAATCGTAAGATGCAAATGAAATTAGTTTTCTTGCTATCGAATATTCTATACAGTAAGACATTTTTATAACAACTATCATCTTTATTAACATTGCTATAACAGTCAAAAGGTATGAAACAAACAATATTGTTATAGAGATGTTTGATTGTGTCTATATGGAATATAACAATGACGACATTTACAAAGACGATGTTACATTTGTCAAGAAAATATCATGAAGTCTTCTCATGGTAATCTTTGTTCCAGGATTTGATGGTCTTGATCTTTTGACTCTCGCATACTTCATTGTTGAACCTTCAAGGTCAAAAAAAAATTTTAAAAAAAATAGTCCACGTTAAACTTGAAAGTAAGCACATGAACAAGGGGATCAAAGTTCAAGACTACCCCCACATTTTAAAATCTTATTACTTATAAGTCACCCTCTTTGTTCTTGGTCTGGGCTTGAGTATATTGGACCCCGGGAATAGCTAAACTCTTGATATTGGACTTCAACATATGCAGGTATATTGTCCAAAATACTAAGATGGGATCATTGACACTTTTACCCCTTCTTAGTAATGGTCTTTAATTTTTGTCCCTCAGGATAAATAGTTCTTTCAAGAGACATAAAAAAAAATTATATTTTCGCATCATAATATCTCACAAGTTATGTTCAGCATTCTGAAATCACTTATCTCCTATTAGATATAAGTTAAATTTCTTAGGGCAAAAATTAAAGATCAGCCCATTTGAATGATAAAAATTAAATTCGATGAGCAAACTATGCAATTAAATGATTGATAAGGAGAGACGGAACCGAGACATTAGTAATATTCTCATCTCCAACTTTACTATAAAAAATGAACTCTTCACTTAACTTTGAAGAATAGACTTCTTTGTTCAATTTCATCAGTAAATATAAACAGACTGTATAAGTTCCAGAAGCAGCCAAATTCATCAATCACTTTCCAAATAAAAATTGAGCAATTGTGCCTTTTCAGTAAAGAAAGGCCACCAATACTTTAAAAATTAGTGATACATGACATCAGAAAGAAATATTAAAAAATGAAAAGAATCAGAGAGGGTCCAGTCGTCCACTAATTTAAATAAGAAAAGCAGCTATAGTAATACCTATTTTTTAACAGAATTAAGGACTGGAAAATCACTAACTACACATCATATGCAAGAGTAATCATAGGAATTTACAAAGTTCAGTCCTTAAAAAACGGATCTTGCCCATTGTATCATATCCTTATCATCATAAAAAAATATTATAGTTAAATCCCGATATTTGTTTAATATGGTTATAAAAGAATATATAATATAACATAATTAATGTTATGAAAGTTGATGTGAACAACGTTCATTTCTACTCTAAATTGAGATTGTAGAAACAGAGTTAGAGCGGATTTAATAAGTTCAACTTAAACTTATGTTTTTACTTGATGTATACAGTATAAATACAAAAAAGATGTATATACTTGTGTAAATACAAATTTTGGGATAAAGAAGTAATGAACATTTACTGGTTAAAAACGATACAAAAAGAACCAAACAATAATAACATACCTAATGAAATCCCACTAAATGAGGTTTGAGAAGGGTAGAGTATACACAGACGGCATAACTTACCACTACCTCGTATAGATAGAAAGGTTGTTTCTCAATTATTGAAGAACCAAAGATAATTAAATTTGTGTCTAATACGAAAGATTAATCAAAACCAAATACTCCCCACAATCAAATTAGTCTAGCAAATAGTACTATAAGAGTATTAAATTTGGAGTATTATATTGAGAAATGTTTTTGGGAAATTAAATAAAATTTAAAAAATAAACGCACTAGTTAATGATTTGTTGGTAAGAGATACGAGTTGCATAGATCAGACTGGAGATATTTTTTTTAATGGTCATGTAGATCTTCTTTTATGGATGTTCCAAGAAGATGAGACGAAACACTTAAAAGGTGAAAAACTAAACAAATTAATTATTAGTTAAAAAAAGACGAAATGGTCTGGTGAACCTTTGTACTTGTATGCGTTTGCATTGTGAATCCTTCTACTTAATGAATTATCAATTGAACCCTTACACTTAATCAAAAGAAGATTTTTAAATCCCTCCTACCATGTGTGTAGTCCACTCGCCCTTAAGTAGATGACATGTCAAATCCATGTCATTTAAATTAATAACATATCATCATTATCTTCCCTAATTGTTATTTAAACAAATTATCAACTAAATTTATTAAATAAAAGATAAAATAATAAAATTTTAATTTATTTCTTAAAGTAAAATCTGGGCTCCTCTGACGCACCATTTTCCTTTCCTCATATCGCAGAACCAGCCATCTTAAGCGGCGGCCGCACCACTAGTTCTGATCGGCAAACTTTTTCGCCGCCGTGACCAGTTCCTCATTCTATCTCCCGCCTCGTTCTCATCTTCAATGTTTTCCTTTCTCCATACTTTCGGCGACCCCCGCCAACCATCAGAAATGGCGTCTCCTCTCCATCCTCCATTGCGTACCAGCAAACTCCCTCGTCGCCTTCCATTCTGACGGAAAAGAGACAAATACCACCTCCCATTCTAGCGAAAAAGGACCAGCGCCACCTCTCTCCCTCTCGTTCTACTCCGAACCAGCGAGCACCACCATGAAATCAGTGCCGCTTTTTCCCTTCACTGATAATCGCCATGAAACCTGATGTCAATGAGAGTGCTAATGCCAAGATTGGCTAAAGAAGATAACATACGGTGTGGAGAAGATAAAAAATGGGGTTGGGGCAACGATGGAGTAGGGATGGCTGGAAAAAAAGGTTGGGGGTGGGGGGAGAAGTTGGATTTTTTTCTTTTCTAAATTTATTATTTTAATTTTTTATAATTTTAATAATTTAAAATTTAAAATATGTTGTTCACTTGCCTTAACACGCGTGTAATCACACTCTCTCACCAACTCAGCCATTTAATGCCACATAAGCATGATCAATGGTCAAAAAGGTTTAATATATTGTGTTTTACAGAATTTAAGGGTCCAGTTGATAAAAAATTAAGTAGAAGGATCCACAATACAAACTCATACAAGTATAAAGGTTCATCAGACCATTTCGCCTTAAAAAAATAAAGGAAAAACTAACATAAATAAAAGGAAAAACTATGTTGTTCTTCTCGTACTCCTAAGAGAGTTGTGTGATTCACATGCTAATTATTTGCAAATTATAGTGTAGGAATAGTTTATACGATAAGATCATTTGTCTCTAGTTCTTATAATATATGCTTTTTTATTTTATAATAACCTTTCGTATAAAATAATGCATTTGTATTAGTACTACGCCTTTTTTATTCCAGTTTTGAACTTCACATAATTTATGTGATATTTAATGCTGAAAACAAAATAATGTAGTATTAAGCATATGGACTATGGGAAATGTAATTTTAAGTACAAGATTTTATAGTGAAAACCAAATGATATATATATATATACATTATTTTATATCATGAACAACTTATCTCCCGTACAACTATCGAACATGATATGTATTACTTGTGCATATGATTTAATATCTGCATAAGTGAGCATGACTCATATCCAAATCAGTTACCAAACGACCCGAAGAAAATGATTTTCCACCATTTTCACATGTATGTCATCCTATATTTTCCCTTTCTCTTTTATCTCTAGTTTACAATTTCTAAATTAGTAAAGAAATGCACGGTGCTCCATAAGATTCGCATATAATAAAACTAGATACGAATAGCCCCACAAAATAAAATAGACCAGAAATAGATTCTTTTAATCTAACAAGTCTCCGAATTTTGGTAAGAGGACAAAAGTTTGATAGCAACAGCTAGTGAAACTGCCGTCTAACGACAATAAACAAAACTTTCAAATTTCAATCATTCACTAGACAGTGGTCCAGATTTATTATTCTCCTCTTTCTATGGCCCAAAAACATTATTACAAAGATTTTTATTATTTTTTTAAATTTAAATCTGGCCTTTGGTATCAAATTTCTCTGAATAAGTACTACATCAACTAACTAACGCGAACTGGATGGCCTTGTTGATGGGACTACTAATATACAATTAGAGTACGAACCACGTTTTTCACTGGCCAGAATTGAAATGGTGAAACCTTGATCGCGAACATCAACTCATGACATAGTGCTAGGTCAAGGGTTCACTAGCTTGGCATGTGTTTCTGCTTTTTGGTATTCAGGAAGTCCCCGTTCGAGTGCAAGCAGCCTCCACCTGTCCCTAGGAAGTCCACAGTTACCTACCAGACAGGGAACAAACAGAAAAGTATTATTGCCCTGCATTTTCTGAATAATTAATGAAGAGTATGAATGCCTGACTAGTTTTGTTTATTTGATAGAACCTGCTAGGTCAATGCAATCACACAGATCTAGTGAAGACGCGAAAGAACATAAAGAGAGATCAAACATAAACATAAAGACCAAAGAGAGGTCTAGCAATTAGAAACCAATGTGCTTAGCTAAGGCAGAACATAAATATTAGACCATCAAAACGGAAGTGCTTATTCAAAGTAGTACAGAAATAGATGAGTCATCAATTAATTGGTAATAGGTCAATTATAGATTATATAAAGAATTCATAAGTGGCCAAATTCAGGGAATCAGTTGCAGAATACAAATTGAGCAATCACATCTTTCAGTACCAACCACTACTAAATATTTAATTAATCACCCCAGCATCATAGCGATGAATGAACTGGCCATAATAAGAAAACAATATTCTTTTATATGAGAAAGGTTGGTCAACAATGTTCAAATGGCAGTACCAAGAAAATAATATAAAAAGGGAAAGAACGAATAAGGACGAGCCCTTCACTAACTTTAAAACAACCATCAGGATGCTCATTTTTAACATAATAAGGAACAGAAGACCACTATGACACAGCATAACAGAATACAGCATATGCAAGAAGTAAACATAAGAAGTGACAAAGATATGCCCTTAGATCCAGGATCTTGCATCATATTCCTATCAAAGATAATCAATCCCCTACTGGTGAAACAATAGAACTATCACTAATGAGAGACCATCAAAAACCACCACCTTCTTTTTTTTAAGGTAAAATGAATTTTATTACCACATCACCCAGAAGGTGCCTCAAAAAGTTGGAACATGCTAGTCAAATTGAAAGCATACTCCTATGAGTTTATTCACTTAGAGCTATGTTGCTCCAACATCATTCAGCATTAAAGCATTTCCCATCTATTGAGGAAAAGCAAAAGGCAATGTGAAATATCAAAAGAAGCAAATCTTTCGCTTCAGGTCTTGCTAAAAAATCTAGGCTGCAAGGTATGAAAAACATCGAGGAAAATTATTTAAGCACCATATATACCAATTTCATCACCGACCAAGGGTAATCAAAGAGCTGGTTTTCATAAATCTACAACAATCGTCTTCACAGGTACTGTGCCCAAAAACACTCACACAAATAAAACCTATCTGGACAAACCTCACTTAAATGTTTTCCCCTTAGTTGCCCCCTGTGCTCAGACGTACCTAAACCCATCAAAGGTTAAAGACGGCCATTTAATTTCCAGGCTAGTTTGTACTTTTGTAACGATAAAAAAAAAGGTTCTTCTGATACCTTTTTCATTGAAGAAGATTTACTAATGCAAATATAACAAACTCAAAGGGAAACTCCAGATTGACCAATAAAACTAGCAGGCAAAATAAGAGAACAGTTAATGACAAGCATTAATCATCCAGTAAGGTTTGTCAGATTAAGCTTGGCAGGTAACATCCTCAAGAAAATCTATAAGAGCCTTGATCCAAATTCCAATCATCAAGGTTCTACTGGCCTTGATCAACTTGGCAATACTCTTACGAGAAGAAGCAGATTACAGGTCATGAATGATTCCCATTTCTATCAGACCAATCCAGACACGACAACCAAAAAAAGAAAAGAAAAACTTAAATTCTCTTTATTTTCTCATTATATTGTGAAGACCATATGTGCTGGGGGAAGGATCGGACAACTTTTGAGTAGTTAATAAAAAAGCACGGTCCAGTGCACGAAGCATCCTGCATTCACATAAAGTTTGAGGAAGGGCCACAATGTAAGCAGCTTATGCCTTATCCTAATGCAAGCATCAAAAACTTACCGTGGCTCAACCCCATGAGAAGTTAATAAAAAATTATGATGCAGATATTATTAGCAAAATTGCTCCTTATTAACTGGCCTTACAAGATTGAGAAGCTCAATTTGTAATACAGCGCTTCCTACAAAGAAGTTGAGAAGCTCAATCTATAACATCGCACTTCCACAAGCTGCAGACTACTACAGCCAAGCATTTGCTCATAGGAATAGCGTGCCAAATTCTTTAGTGAGAGTCAAAATAATACTAGAAATAGAAAATAAACGAAAATTGAAAAACGGGTCAATTTCGAGACACTGATGTGTTCATTTCTTAGATAAGTTTATATAGCATCCCACAACAAGAACAGAAATTACAAGATCTGATAAGCTTCGAACATGAGCTAATAACAGATGCAAAAGTGCAAAGAATACAAAGTGCTACCTATACAAATGCACCTAACCATATAAAAAGGAAGGAGAAAAGAGCTTACCCTTTCCCCTTCTCTCTCTTTATTCAGTATCTGATGGCAAATATGATGAATCAACAGGGTATCCAACTTCATGTGCTAAATTCTGTAATCCTGGCTTCAATTCCCTGTTGTAAAACTCCTCATACTCCAAGCTGTCTCCTCCTTTCTTCTTCACTTCAACAACTCTCAACGAAGGCGTCAACTCAAATATCTCAGCTGCAACTGTCAACGGCCCCTTTGCACCTTCCTTAGACCCCTCCATACTCACTTTACAATCCTTCTTCCTTACTGCAAAGCTCACAACTTTAGCAATTTCCTCCAACTTATTTATGATCTTGGGCACAGGAGCCCCGGATACAAACCTTGCCCCATCTCCTCCCTCCTCAAACAAACCGGACAAATCAAAGCCACGGGAAAATGAAATAATATCAAATGCATTCAAGCTAGCTGGCCTAGGCAAAGTAGCTGACCTCCTTCTGATCTCTATTTCAGACTCAGACTCTGATCTATCAGACGAATAATCAATCCCACCATACTCATCATCATTTATACTACACAACTTATCATCCTCAATATAAAATTTAACATGTTTAAAACCCTTCTTGAACCACCTATTATTCATAATCTCCTGAACAGTAATCCTGGTTTCGGGATTAATATCAAGAAGGTGCTTTAAAAACCGAGTTAATTCAGGTGAAAACCACCTGGGACATCTAAACTCACCCCTATAAATCTTCTTGTACATAGCCATAACATTCTGATCATGAAATGGTAAATACCCTGCCATTAGCACAAAGAGTATCACCCCACATGACCAAATGTCTACTTTGGCTGCATCATAACCCTTTCTTCCTAACACCTCCGGCGCCACATAAGCCGGAGTACCACAGAAAGTATGAAAGAGCCCATCTTGCTTTATCTGCTCTGAAATGGCACTAAGGCCAAAATCAGAAACTTTGACATTCCCATCTTCATCTAACAGTATATTTTCTGGCTTTAGGTCCCTATGGTAAACACCCCGGGCATGACAAAAAGCGACAGCAGAGATTAACTGCTGGAAATATTTCCGAGCAACTTCTTCCTTAAGCCTGCCTTTGGCAACCTTATTGAAGAGCTCACCGCCTTTGACATACTCCATGACAAAGAAGATTTTGGCTTTTGTAGCCATAACTTCGTACAATTCAACTATATTTGGATGCCTAACTCTCTTGAGAATTGAGATCTCACGTTTTATGTGATCAATAAGACCCACTTTCAAGATCTTTTCTTTATCAATCACCTTAATCGCTACGCTCTCATTCGTCTTCACATTTCTAGCATGGTACACCTTAGCAAAAGTACCATGCCCTAGTAATTTCCCAATTTCATACCTGCCCAACAGAAGCCCCTGATTTTCCTTCTTGCTCAAACTCCTCGTCGGCGCTAGGTTGCTGCTGGTACTGGTGCTGGTGTCGCCGGCGGTAGCGATGCCGGCCATGGATTCTGCAAACTTTTAACAAAAAATATGTATAGTTGATTTTTTTTTCCTAAAAGAACCAAAATTTATCAAAAGGGTGCTTCCAAAGCGATCAAAAAGCCAAAATATCAGATGGGTAATTCAAAATTTGCAAAAAAGGGGTAAAATATCGAAAGGGTCGTTTGAAGATTTGCGAAAAAGGGGGGAAAGGGAAGGCCAAAAAGATCAATAGGATTAGTTGACAGTCAGCCTAAATAATGGTTTTTTTGAGGAGAAATTGCCATTGAAATGGTGAGCTGTCGTGTAGTTGGAGATGTTGATGTTATTGAGCTATTTTTAGGTTTCAAGGAAAATGATTGTGTACAGAGCTGTACCCTGTATGTATACTCTATATCTATATATTTGAGTGGTGTAGGATTAACGCAGGGTGCGGGTGATGCGTATAAAGAGGATTTATATATATATATATAACTTTGTGGGGGAATCCACAGCTGGAAAAATACGCAAGTTAATTGTCAAAATTCAAAAAGGGTTTTATATAGAAATATTGATTATCAATTTTATCCTTGAATTATTATTTTGATTTTATAATAAAAATGAAATAAACTCTAATTTTTATCAAATTTAGGAGAGTTCAACACTTATCTTCACTTTTTTATTAAGAGTTTGAAAACACTTAATATGTCATATGACAAATTGGAATGTATCTAAATTTAATTAATCAAATAAAAAATGTCTTTAAAATTATCAAATGGTTGAAGAAAGAAACTAATGCGTCAAGTTTAAGAATGTTTCAATATTACTCTGTTTTATATGTGAAAGAAATAAAAAGGTTTTATATATAATAGATATTTCTCTTTTTCTTTTCTTTTTTAAAACAATAAATAAATAAGAAAAGAATGATGTTAGAGTCACGTGATATATATGTGATTGTTTTTTACGTGGATGGATTTAATTGGTTTTGAAGATGTATGGTATGTGTTGTTTTTTGAAGGAAATTTCTCGATGGAATATCCTATTTTTGGGTCAAATTTCTTTTTTTTTTTAGAAAAATTAGGTAACACAACAAACTAACACCAAATATTTACCCGAAATAACGGTAATATATATTTTTTTAAATAACGATAGTATAGGATTTTATCCATATGGATATTATACGTGCGAATATAATATATTTGCTATACACATGATAAACTTCACTTGGGTATACTAATTCATAAATCACACAAAAAAAAAAATTACACGAAATATATTTTACTATTAATGTACGTGTGAAAATTTAAACAGTCACTACATCTCATAAATATAAGAATTATAGATATGTTTCACAATTAGAAGCCAAACTAAAGCAATATACAAAAAAAAAATCTCTTCTTTTTTTCCTGTTCTTTTTCGTAAAAAGGAGTTTTATTCGTATTATTGAAGGCTTTACAACCACTAAGATTTGTACGATCACGAGACAATGGTGAATTATTGAGCCATTGAGGTTTTTTTTGGGTGGGCTATGAATAATATTTATAAATACTAAATTTTCTTGTATTTGCAATTATTAAGAGGTAAGAAGATGGTAGTTGTAGTTCGTCCATAAATTGGCGAACTGTCCGTTTTGGTGTATGTTTTTAGGGAGGATTCCTTTTGGTGTTTAGGGTTTAAAAAGCGTCTGTTTTAATGTCTAACTCTAATTTGAATACTCTCTTTCTTGAATTGTTGTATTTTTTCAAAAAAAAAAAAAAAATCAATTAAAGCCTCAACAAAGAGGTGAAACTTCATGTGGTCAACTCCTTTTAACTTTAAGTACTAATCATTTATCACAATTTCAATCAAATACTATCAGATCATCTATTTAATTATTTTCAACTTTATGAACATGAATTTTATTTTACACCAAAAAAAAAAAATACCTTTCATGATTAACGTGATTTTGTGGATTGTGTATCTTCATTTTCTTAAGTCTAATTGAAACATGCTATTGTTGAAATTGAGTGAAAAAATGAGAAAATTAAATAGAATTAGCATTTGTCTATGGAGAGTTTGTGTGTCACATTTAATACACTACACATACAATCTTTCATTATTATTTTTATTCGATATTTGATATTCATATTAAATTTCGATTAAATAGGAATTTGCACATTGTATATGATTCGTTTTAATAGTGGTACATCCAATTGAAGAGATTTCAACCATCTCACCACAGTTCAGATTGATATTACACGCATTATCTACAATTGCTATGTTTTCATTTTAGGATATAAAGAATGAGTTTTGTCGAGTTGAATCATTGATACTCCTCAACTTATATTTACCAAAATTATCGATATATCTCTTATAGTGGTACATAAACTCAGAATTAAATATGTACCAACCTAAGCCAGATATGTAGACTAAAAATATCATTTTAGACTGCAATATCGTAATATCTTATCTTGAATTCGTGTCACATCTATTTCTTTCCTGAAATTTTGACATCTTATCTCTACTTTTTTTTTTTGGTTTTAGGTAAGATATGTTTGCTAACTTTCTGCCCTGGTCCTCATTCTTTTTCTTTTTGTTTTACATGAAAACATAAATATCTCAAGGAAAAGTAAAATGTTCTCATCAAGATGTAGACTTTTCTTTTTCTCTAATCTTAATAATTATAGTGTAGTAATCATCTGAAAAATAATTAAAAGCATATATATACCCCAACTTTTTATATTTTATAAAAAATATCCATCATTTATTAATTCTAATTTATATTTATCGATCAAATTATTCCATTAATAACTAATAACTATTCTCCTTTGCTATCTATACAGAACGTGGCCAAAAAGAATAATTTATTTTTAATGGGTTATAATTCATCCTAAATCAGTGACAAGTTTGAGTATGCGATTAATGTATTGGTCTTGTCCATATTGTTATTTTGTTATTGTTGATTGTCATCAATTATTTAATAAGGTTAGTTTTTAATGGAACATGTTCATTATAAAAATGACAATACAAACTTAAAGGTATTTTTAATAATTTTTAGAACTTATGGGTATAAATCATTTTTTAAATAGTCAAATATTTTTTTCAAAATTTATGACCAATCGCATGGTGAAACTTCACCCAAAAATAAGTTGCCAAGAATATTTGAAAATTTGGGCCAAACACTAACTAAGTCTGAGAAAATTAGATTTGGTGCAAAAAGAAGAAACTTCAATAAAAACGGAAAGTCATTAAAATAAAATTCATTTCGTTTCAATTTGTTTTTCTGATAATGACTTGACACCAAGTTTAAGTAAAATTCTTTTTATGAATCTTATGATATATATATATAATGTACTAAAATATTTTTTAATCATATGATTTTAAACATATCATACGAAAAATTGAAATTATTGAAATATAATATCACCTTTTCCTAATTCAGAAATAACAAAACTTCTAATTTTCTTTTTAATCCTTTAGATTTCACTTTCCCATGGTGGACTATTATCACTGATCATGGACTTCAATGTCTTAATAAAATTAAAATATTAAGGAAACCAAAGTCATCAACGTATATATATTGCACACTTCTTATAATTTATTATTATGGATAGATAAATTAAAAGTAGCAAAGTCAACTTATGGTCGGTTTGGGATTTATAGATACGTATGCTTTGGAAACACTATATTATTGCAACACTTCCAACGATTACAATGGGTACGGTTTTAGGTATGGAGAGAACGTTTTTCATTTTTATGAAAAATAAGTGAATAAATAAGTAAAAACATTGTCTCACAATAATTATATATATATATATATATATATATATATATATATACACACTCTAGATAAATATTTATAAGTATGAAAATGGAGTCATGTAGTAAAAATTATTTTTAGCGGGAATAAATATAAACGGTTTTCATTCGTATTCGTATGATGACTTGATTAATAAAATGACAAGAATAAATATTACTAGTTAATATGCCGGTAGAAATAAATTAATTAATTTCTACGTCAAAGTTCATTTCGTAATCTCATTTATCAATTGTCGGTTTAAATTTTTAGGTCACCTACGTGCAAAGGTGTCACATCCATTCATTTATGTTTACGTATGAACCTCAACTGCTGTGTATTAAATTGATTTCTTATGACAACTGATAACAAAGTTTTCGTAGAAACGATCTCCTATAACCACTTACTAATTAAATATAAGAAAAAGATGTTTTATGTATAAAAATATATGAAAATCTCTAATAAAATAGTATGTAAAGAGTTACAAATATCAAATTCAGAAAAAATGATCTTATAACCACTTGTACGACAAATAGTCATGTTTACATTAGACATTGTGTAAATTATAAGAAACAGCTAATTGTGTTTGTCATGTAAAATGAACGCGTAAAAGTAGCCAAAAGATGTTAAGTTGTTGCTTCCGTAGACATTTGTTTCTTAAAAGGAATTTATGTCTAGAGAAGGTGTTTTTATATAATATATTGAATTTATGAGTTTAATTAATTTGAATTTATGTTGCGTAAAATTTATTAGATGGAGAAGGACACTAAACATATTTAAATTAAAGTGTAAACGAGTTCCTAAATGTCATGTCCCATGGCATAGTCGTAGCCATATATAGTACAGGATGGCCAATTAGACACCATTCATTGAAAAATTACATTATGTATATAGAAAATTGTATGAAATACATATATATATATATATATATATATATATATATATAATTTTAGATATTCTTAACGAAATTTCTGACTTCGCCACTACGGTACTCTTCTAAGTCTCTTTTTTTTTCTCCTGATCTAATAGTACAATTAGTAAAACTACTTTGAAGTAAATCATGACTAAATAACTTTGTTAATATGATTTTCTTTAAACAACCAAGGTTATGGAGAATTGATTTTCATATACTAGCAGGATTTGATTTCCTCCTAATATTCTTTTAACCTGCTTTAGAGTCATACTTCAAGTCTTATTTTGCACTATGTTATGGTTTTATTTTTAATCAATAATGTGTGATTACAAATAACTAAACTTATCAGTAACCACACATTATCAATTAAGAAAATATAATCATAAAATGGTGCAAATAAAATTGAGAATCTTTTTGATGAATTTGGGTGTATTTAATGTATATCGGTGCTAATTATAAATGTTGGTCAATATATATGATTATATTAATACCACCGTCCACATTCCGGACTTAATCCCCGGCACCACCCCCACCATTGCATACGTACAAGTTTTGCTATCCCTTATTATACATAAAGGAACTATATATTAAAGAAGGACAATTGAGGAATTAATTATCTAGAGAATCAAATAAAGACCGTTGAGTAATTAATAAAATTAAAAAATATATAATGTGTAATTTATTAAAGTGTCCCTATTTAATAAACGACTTAAAAAAAAACTA